TCCCTTCTCTCTCTTCCTCCTCTCTCCTCCCCCTCCCCCACCCTCTCAGAAGAGTCTCACTGTATAGCCCAGGCTAGCCTCATAATCATTACAATCCTGCCTGTACCTTCTCAGTGCTGGGATTAAACTGACTTTTTTCCTGTAGGTTCTTGAGTCAAACTCAGGACTTGGTACTCGCCAGCCTCTTACGTTGGTTCTTTGGAGGTAGGTCTGCCTATGCTGGCCTGCAGTCCTCTTGCCTCAGCCTGCCAGGTGTTGGGACGGCAGGTGCACACCGTGGCCCTGACTGTGGACATCTCCCATCGCAGATGAAGCAGGCATTCTGCAGATCACTCAGGACTCTGGTCTGAGGAACTGGGGACGTTTACTTCAGCTGCTATCTTTCCTCCACTCCCCATTATGTCTGAACACACTAGTGTTTACCTTAAGGAAGAGCAGAGCCTGCTATGGTTGTGACATGCTGTCTTCTCAGCACAGCAGAGGCAGGGGATCAAGTGTTTGAGCAAGCCTGGCCTACATTCTGCATCTGATGAGCAGGGAGGACTGACCTCCTTTGCGGCTGCTGCAGGGTACTGGGGAGGAGAGAGACCCAGCCTTAGGGCAGATGGCAGCAGCTTCTAGAAGCCATTTTTGTTGCTGCCTTAACCCCCCCCCAAGTCTCCACATCACACCCGTTCCTGGCTTGATTTTGTTCTTTTGTATTTTCAAGACAGGGTTTCTCTGTGTAACAACCCTGGCTGTCCTAGAACTTACTCTGTAGATCAGGCTGGCTTTGAACTCACAGAGATCTGCCTGCCTCTACCTCCTGAGTGCTGGGATTAAAGGCAGTGGCATTGTGGCATTAACTTACTGTACAGTGGTCTAGAAATGATGCCATTTAAGAGTAACTTCATTCTGAGGTAGAAATCAAGTTACATGTTAACTTTAAATGCTGCTGGTGGCAGGGGCTGGAGAGCTGGCTCAAAGAACTTGTTCTTAAAGAGGACCTGGGTTTGGTGCTCACAGCCATCCATACTTCTAGTTCCAGGGCATCTGACGCCCTCTTCTGACCTCCATTGTGCACATGTTTACACGCAGGCAAGACACTCACCATAAAATGAATAAGCACAGGAGAAGGTGGCAGGGGGCTGCTTACAGTGAGGTGCTTGTCATCAAGCCTGAGACCGAGTTCAATCCCCTAGACCCCAAGTAAAGATGGGAGGAGAAAACCTCCACACAGTGCTCCCCAGAGAATGAGTGAACCAAGTAATTGGGGAAGAGACACATCCCTGGGACTTGGTGGCCAGCCAGATTGTTGGGATCAGTGAGCTGTAGGCCTGTGAAAGGCCTACATCAGAAGAACAAGGTGAAGTAACAACTGCGCTCGTCTCCTGGCCTCTGTGAACAGAGCCGCAGTCACACCCAAAGCCTCCCCACAATAAAGTGAAAAAAAAAAATCAGTGTTATTGCTCAAGCAGGAGATAGTGATAATAAGTAGTAAAATATTCCCTTCTTTCTTTCCTTCCTTCCTTCCTTTTTTTTTGGGGGGGTGCTTTGGATGGAATCTGGGAGCCTTGTGTCTGGTAGGCAAGAACTCTACCACTGCAAGCCACACCAAAGCCCCATCCAGATCCAGGCGTATTCTTTTTATTTTTGGGATAAGGTTTCTGCCATGTAGCCCAGGCTGACCTGAACTTGAGATCCTCTTGCTTCACCCTCCCACTGCTGGGATGCCTAACTTTCAGGTGGGGGTTTAATGGGTGCTCATTACACACACACACACACACACGCACGCACGCACGCACGCACGCACGCACGCACACCACTCCACACACACACACACACACACCATCAAAACTAAAGAACTGAAAATGTTCAAACCTGAGTCCTAGCTTCAGCTTCCCTTCTCACCCCAGTGGACGGTGTCCCCTCTTTAATGACAGGCTGTGCTCCCTCTCCTCAACCATTAAATTTTCTATTCTTGTCAACTGTGAGCATATCCCTTACCCCCCCCACCACCACCACCATGGTAGGCTGCAGCCAGGCTGCCATGCTTGATGTGAGGAGGGCCAGGATTAATCCGCTTGGCTTTTTGGACCTGGCCCAGCAAGCCCTTCCTCATTTGGTCTCAGGAGCCCTTGGGGTCAACTGACAAGCTTGGTGGGGTGTTCCAGAAATTTGCTTGTGGGCCCAGATGTTGGAATTCCATTTGCATACATTTGTCTTGAAATAGGCTTTTTTGATTTTTGTTCCCCCAAAATGTAAAAACTAAGCTGGATGGTAGTGGTGCACGACTTTAGTCCCAGCACTCAGGTGGCAGAGGCAGGTGAATCTCTGAATTTGAGACCAGCCTGGTCTACAGATCAAGGAAAGCCGGGGTTATACAGAGAGACCCTGTCTCTAAAAACAAACAAACAAACAAAAAATGTAAGTCATTCCCGATTTTATAAAAATGTTGAGTGGGACCAGGTGTAAGCAAGCCTGTCATCCCAGTACTCTAGGCTGAGGCAGAAGGAATGAAAATTTAGGGCTAGCCTGGGCTACATAGTTAGATTTTTTTTGTCACAAAAACAACAAGAGCGACAGTGAAACTCCAGTGGCCTATTAGTCAGAGCTAGCCAATTTCTTCATCTAAGCCATCACTTCCCCCTACTGAGAAGATTTTTTTTTCATGTTGCCGGGACTGGTACCTAGAGCCTTGTGCAGGCTGAGCATGTGTCTTACTCTCCAGCGCCAGAGCAACTTCAGTATCACACATTCATGGGACTTGGGTGGGAATACAGTAGAAGAGTCTTTGAGATGTGGTCTCAGGCTGAACCTCCCAGTGCTGGGGTTTCCTGAATGTACTACCATGCCTACCATCATTTAATTTTGAGGGAGCTATTTTCCAGCCTGGAGCTGGGCTCTGTCCCCAGTGCTCAGGAGGCAGCAGATCATTGTAAGCGTGGTGTGTAGAGTGAGGTCCAGGTCAGTCAGCGCTGTACAGTGAAACTGTGTGCCAGAATCAAAACAGGCGAAATCAAACTCAAGTCAGGGCTTCCTTCTTCTGCCTGAGCTCTGTGTAGCGCCCACTCACACCCGGATCCTCACCAGCCCTCGGGACCGCCTGCCACGTCACCTCCTGCTTACACCTCTCCGTTCTCTCATGCCTGACTCCAGGCCACACGCTGAGCACCTGCTGTTTCATTCCAGGGCCTTTGCACAGCTGTTCTCCCTTGATGCTGCCTTTCGACTCTCTCCTCCTTCAGGACCGTGGCTGAAGGCTCCTTCAGGGACTGCCGTCCTCACCCTCCCGCTCCCAACAGACTTTCACTGTGCACTCCGGCCTGGCTGGCCTGACACTCATGTATAGGCCATGCTGGCCTCAAGCTCAGAGATTCCCTGCCTTTACCTTCTTAAGGACAGCAAGGGAGGGGTTTCTTGACCGCTTTATGTAGAAAACCAAACAACAACAGAACAGCGCCTGCCTCGGGCACATACACTTTCCTCTTCATGCTTTGATGTCATGCTACCTTCTCATGTAGCATATAGAACTGTTTGCTACATTCATTTCCTTGCTGTCTCTTTTATACCGGGGTTTGAAACTAGACCTAATTTACACTTAGCAAGCTTTCTTTCTTTCCATGGTTGAATCTCCAGAGACCCGAATGTGCTTTGGTTTTTCACATACAAACAGGGATCACTAGTAAAGGAGAAATCTTTCCTCAAGAATGAGTTGTGCATGAGGAGCCTGGAGGGCAGTTTGGCAAGCTGAGCTCATGGGCAGACTCACCTGCTTGCTGCTTGCTGGGGTCAGGTGGGCACAGTGGACAGTGGCGGATGAGTGCCTCCAGTCAGTCCTTCCTCCCGCCTCAGCGTCTCTGGCTTCCCAAGTTCCCCGGCCTGCCAGAGTCTTCCTGTCCACAGGTGGAGAGAGGCCTGGATTAGATCACCAATTGCAAGAGGGTGATGGGTTTGATGGCCTGCGAGCAGGACATGAGCAGCTCTGGAGGAGGGCAGAGGTACCCAGGCTGCAGCTCCCACAGCAAGGGTTCATCCATACTAAGGAACTAAGCAGCCCGAAGTTAGCAGCGCTTACGGTGAGGTCCAGCCCTCTGAGCTCTTAGCCTAATTCTGGCTGCAGGGTCTTGTCAATAGGGTGACTTCTCACTCTAGCTGCCTTGTGAGAGCTGTAGGGCAAATGTGCATACTGCCTGGCCATGGAGGACAGCAAGGGAATGACTAGGCTTGGTGAGGCCTTCTGGGTGGGCCACAGCAGCATGATAGGGGTGTTTGGAGATGGCTGTCCACTGTTTGTTTTTGATAATGCTAGGAATTTGATAATGCTAGGGCCTTCTGCATGTGAAGTCTAGGTCTCAGCCCTTTCCATGGGAGTTCTGAAGCTGTAGACGGCGGACAACTGCTACACTTTCTGATGTTGGCAACTAGGGCTGGGTTCTTCCTGCCCGTCCACTGGGTGGTGCTATAGCAATCTTTTTAATCTTTGTTTTTAATTTTGTTTGCAACTGTATTTTGCTGTGTGGCCCAGGTTAGCTTTGAATGCAGCGTCTTCTGCCCCAGTGCTGGGGGGCTAGCTATGCACCACCATGCTAGCCCCCAGCAATCAGTGTGAATTCCCACGCAGTCCCTCCAGAGTTAGAACACTCATTCCCATTTGCCTGGCTGACCTTACCTAGTATTGGAGACACCCTTGCTTTCCCAGGCTGGACGGTGGCCCTTGCCTGCCATAGGAAAACGGAGCTGTTGCTCCATCCTTCCTCTGGCTTCTCTGGTTTTGGGAGGCGGCCTGGGTATAACCCCACGTAGATGAGACACTCTGCATGCATTTGAAAGCAGAGAGTGTGAGTCGTCCCCCGCAATCTCTCTGTGTCTTGGCTGCCTCTTCCTGCCTCTGTGCCATGCTGAGGATGTAACCTAAGAGCCTTGCATGTACCAATCAAATGCTCTGCCTTTCATCCACGCCTCGTTCTGTTTATCTATTTCTTCCTCTGTGATGCCGGAGGTCAGGGCAGCTTTTTGTTGCTGTATGGTCCTGGCTGACCTGGAGTTTACTCTAGATCAGACTGACCTGGAGTTCACAGAGATCATCTTCCCCTGCCTTCAGAATACTGGGCTTAAAGGTATACACCACTACACCAAGCACAAAGTAACTTTAGAAAGATGTTGGGCAGAAGCATAGGGAGGTAGATCTCTGAGTTCAGGGCCAGCTTGGTGTACCTGGTCCATTCTAGGCCAGCCAGGGATGCATAGTGAGATCCTGCCTCAGAAACAAAACAGAAATCCTCAACAGAAAAGCGTGTGCGTGTGTCATCAGGCTTGGTGGCAAGCATCTGCCTGCTAAGCTATCTCTCTAGCTCAGTTCCCCCCCCCACTTCACTGCTGTGGTCTCTGTACTTGGTGCCAGTCCTGAGTTGAGAATCTGTGGACATGGTGTTCAGACCCTGGCTCCTGTCACGTTGCCACAGGGCTGGAGACCAAGGCCTGGTCACAGGCCCAGTGTAGCTGGCCACCGTCTCTGCCGTTCCTGCCCTGGGCAACCTGTTCCCACCACTGGCCCCACAGAGAGGCTGGAAGTGAAGGACCTGCTGCCTTGCCCCTGGTGCACCCTGGAGAAATGAAGTCAGAGACCACCGGGGAGGGCGCGTTTGGGCTAGAGCAGGTGCAGTCTGGGCTGGCTTTCTGGCAGCTGTGTCCCAGTCATCAGCTATCATGACTTTATTAGGGTTACTGGGTATTTCTGGAAAGTAAAAGGGAATGGAAGCCAAAAACACCAAGCTGGAGTCTCAGGTGAACATGGGGAAGCTGTCTAACTGGTAAGCTGCCTGCACCATGCCTAGGCCAATGGTTGGGCCTGGTCTCTGCCCTCTGGGCTTGCAGTATCCCTGAGAAGAATGCACATGCCCTTGTGTCTGTGAGTGCTGGCAACAGCTGGCTGGAGGACCTGCGGCTCTGTGACTCTTCAGCTGCGTTTCCTGGTAGCAGTGCCGAGAGAGCATGCTGCCCTGCCATATGGAGGAGCTGGCTTTGTGACAGGGTTGTCTTGCTCTTTCCACCAGCTTTGAAATTGTACATGGCCGACACCCTGGCTCAGGCATTCACACCCAGGGGACCTGGTTGCGCTTCTCAGCTTATGGACCTTGCTCCCTCCCTCATCTGGGGTGTGACAGTGAAGCCTGCTGTGGTTGTTTGAATGACCGTGGCCCCCACAGATTTACTTGGTCCCTAGCTGGTGGAACTGTTTGGGAAGGATTAGGAGGTGTGGCCTTTTTGGAGGTGAGTTACTGGGACAGACTTGGAGGATTCAGAAGTCCTCACCATTTCCAGTTACTGTTCTCTTCCTCGTGTTTATGTTTCAAGGCAGTGGTGGCACACGCCTTTAATCCCAGCACTCTGGAGGCAACCTGGTCTGCAGAGTGCGTTCCAGGACAGCCAGGGCTACCCAAAGAAGCCCTGAGCTCTCAGCCACCAGTGCCATGCCTGCCTGCCATGAACTCCAAATTACATGTTTTCTTTTATAAGAAAGCCTTGGGCATGGTCTTGGTCTTAGCACAGCAGTAGAAAAGTGACTAAGACACCTCAGGCTATTGGGCTGCTACAGAGGCGCTTGTGAAGCTGCTGCTGGAACTGTTTGTCCCCACCTAGAGCCGTTCAGCAGGTCCCATACCCAGAGTTGTAGCTGCGTAAGTTAGGGGCTGACCTGCAAGGTTGGGTGGCAGCACCAAGCTGCCCTGTGACATGAGCTCTGCAGCCATGGTCTTGCTTATAGGCGGACAGAGAACCTTGGGGCAGCAGGGCCCCACATTTTGAAGAGGGGCGTGCACCTCAAGTCCTTGTGGCGTGCAGACGTTGCAGACCCCACTCTTCCAGCCTGGCTTTCATGGGGCTGTTCCTCCCCACTGGCTCAGCAGATCACTCTTGTTCCTCCATCCCCGCCTTGAGGCCATCTCAGAGTGCTTCTTCCACTGTTCATCTGTCTGGAATTCAGCCATTATTCACCCTCCCCCATCCCTCACTATCTTGGGCTCCTAGCCTTTGCCCCACCCCTCATAATGTTCCCCGACACTGGTCCCTCTGAACACTTGAAAGAGACTGTGTACCTTCTCTGCTCAGACACTCCGAGTCCATCAGACCCCAGATGAAAGCCAAGTCCTCACGACCGCCAGGCCTCACAGAGCCTGCCCTCTCCCTCTCCTCAGGCATGCTGGCACAGTGCAGCCTGAGGGCCATTGTACTTGCTGTGGCTTCTGTCTGGAACTTCTTTCCTACCTGAGTGAATGTCTGTGTCCTTCCCCCAGGGCCCTTTGCTCAGATTCTTCCGGAAGGTCTTAGCCAGCCTTGTCACCCCTTTGCGTCATTTTTAGCTAGCTTCCTTCCTTCCTTGCTTCCTTCCTTCCTTGCTTCCTTCTTTCCTTCTTTCCTTCCTTTCCTTCCTTCTTTCCCTCCTTCCTTCCCTCCCTCCCTCCCTCCGTCCCTCCCTCCCTCCCTCTTTCCTTCCTTCCTTCTTTTCTGAGATAGGCTCTTTCTGATCAGCCTGCACCTATGTAGACCTGACTGGCCTTGAACTCAGGTGGTCCTGCCACTGCTCCCTGAGGGTTAAGATTACTGGCATGTGCTACCATGGCCAGATGCCACTCTGTGCCTCTTCTCTGTCTCCCCACCTTGGTTTCCCTCAGCTCTTGGTGACGATACACATTGCTGTGGTTTGTCCTTCCCTTTGGCCCTACTTCCTTGACAGAGGCTAGAAGTGAGAGGAAGCCTGGGGAGAGGAGAGGCAGGTGGTAGCCCTCAAGGTCTCTGACGCAGTGGAAGGGTAAGCGTAGGCTTTCTTGGTCCCAGGCTGTTACTGATCATAATGGTAGGGCGTGTGCTGCCCTCCCTCCACCTGTTGGCACAGGGGCAGTGGAAAGTATTGCAGCTCTACCGGCTGTCACCGCCCCCTCTCCTTCCTCCCCAGGAGCCCCTTGTTGCTTTTGTTCGGGCTCACTGCCACCAGCTGGGCGGGGCATAATTCTGTCAGCCTTCTGACCTTGGGTCCCTCATGGATGCAGTCAAGGTTGCAGGACAAGGGCCCCGAGTTCTCAGCCAGTGCCTGGCTGGCTCCCATACACATCTGCTATTGCTCTTCTGCTACCACCAGTCCAGTTCTGTGATAGTGTGTGTTTCCTTTTTTAATGAGACAAACTCTTGGTATGTAACAGCCGAGGTTGGCCTTCCGTTTCCTGACCCTCCTGGCTTTACCTCCAACTGCCACCATGCCTGGCCCAGTGATTGCTCTTGGTAGCATTTATTCCAGACGGGCGACATTTAAATGTTCCTGTGCTCGTCTCTCCTTTTTGGTCTAATTCCTCCACTATGGAAAGAGCCCCGCTTGAAACTAAGGAAGTGTGAATAGTTTGTCAAGGGCCGTATAGACGGGAAGTGGTCTTTTAAATGTAGTGTCCAGGGAATGTGTGTTACCACATCTAGGCCATGCAGAGCCTATCAGCTCTTGGGCGCATTGAGGGATACCCTAGTTTCTATGGGGTTGAAGCTGATCCATGCTCAGTGTAGGGCGCCTCAGAACCAGGGGTGTAAGGCCAGGTAGCCCAGAGTGCTGGGTAGGCTTAGAAAGACCCAGGGAGCAGGGGCCTCATACCACAGGGCTGCCTTTGGAGTGATCTGGGGCAGAACGGGGCTCCTGGAGAGGTGAGGGGGCAGTTAGACCAGGGTTGGGGGAGCTGTGAGAGGACCTCAGGCCTGACCCTGGTGACCTTTTCCCTAGGGTTATTCTGGCTGTGCTCTACCTGGGGCCACTCTGGGTGTAGAAAACAGCCAGGCCTAGGACAGGTGGCAGGGTTCCTGGGTCTTTCTTAATTTTTTCTTAAGCAGTAGTTTATTGAGTATACTGCCAGGGGGCAGTAGATCAGGCTGTGACTAGAGTACTAATTGCAGCCATCAATTCTTTTTCGAAAATAGGGTCACTTGGTATGTTGCTATGGTTGTCTCTGAATGCCTGATCCATCTGCGGAGTGCTAGGGTCACAAGTGTTGCCACTGTGCCTGGTGGGGCTGCTGTTTTAAAGCTGGTGGTGGTGAGCTGTGCCCAGTGGCCCGAGGACGAGGCAGAAGCCCTGTAATGGCGACGCAGGACACGCTTCTCTGCCTTTGCTCCCTGCCTGTTTCCCTCGAGAGAGCTACCTCGAAATCTCAGAACAAGGAGCAGGGAATCCTTTCTGCACCAACCTTGACCTTTCCACACTGGCGTGCCAAGGCCAGCCCTCATCCTTCAGGGTGGGCCTCTTCCTGCCTCGTTGACCTTGGGCTAGCAGGAGTTGCTATTGGCTGGGCCTGGCCTCGTTATCTCAGTCTCTGGGTGAGAATTCTTCACAGACTAGTGGAACTGTCATCGCAGACCAGTATGGGTGCCCCGTGCCAGGGCTCCTGCCCTTGTCTTTGACCCTGTCCATTGTGCTCTCAGCAGCAGCGCCCCCCCTCCCCCCAGCCTGGGAACTCAGGTTTCCCTCCTGGGCCACCGTCGTCTGTAGCTATCTGCAGATGAGGGTTCCCTTCCTTAGCTCAGCTGTGCTGCTTTCTCCCCAGGAGGGGCCAGGGGCTGCTGGGTCAGTGTTCAGGACCCCTGGCTGGGGGCTGCCTGTCTCAGTGTTCAGGACCCCTGGCTGGGGGCCGCCTGCCTCAGTGTCGGGGTACCTTTCAGCACTCTCTGTGCTCTCTGACCCTAGACCTGGCTACCCTCAGGGTTGTACTTGAGGCTGACCTGTGTGTGTGTTTGGTACGGTCCAGGGCAGGGGTGGGGGTGGTCGTGGTTGCATGCAGCGAGGCCAAGAGGTACCAGATTTTCTCCAGTCTCCTTAGTGTGGGGAGGGAGACCCCGCCTTCCCGGGAGAGGTGTTGTCTTTTCTTGTTTGTTGGACACTTTGCCTGTCTGTTGCCTGTAGGGGCTGGGGTGAACTGACTGGACAGTTCCCGCCTCACAGTGTGAGAGCCCACAGACAGTCCAGAACTTTTGGAGTGTGCCTGCTGCGACCGTAAGTGCAAGTGCACAGTTGAAGCGGGTGGGGACAACTAACCCTCAGCACCTGGGAAGCTGAGTCGGTGTTTGAGGTTAAGGCCATCCTGAGCTAAGGAGTCAGACCCTGCTGTGCCACCCGAGGACCACCCGTCCCCCCAAAGCACACAACCGTGACATTCGGCACACTTCCTGGTGTAGCCCCACCTCTGTGACTGACACCTCTGCATCACCCACCAAGAGCAGGTGGCCTAGCATCTCCCCCCTGCTGTCGCCCTGGTCTGGGCCTGGCCACTCCTCCTGAAAGTCTGGCATTGTTCAGCCAGCCAACCAACCCCCTTGCTACCCTTAACATAACTTTCGTCTTGCTTTGGTTTTGAAATAATCCTAGAGGTTTAGGGAGTTGCAAAAATCACAGCAAGAACGGTGTCCGGCCCCTAGGAGAAGACAGATGGCTGTGGGGGTCTGGGGCTCGGGCAGGACGTGGGAGGCCCTCACTCACCTGCTCCTGTGGCTTGGGAATCGCTGTCGAGTGTGGCCCTCTCCGTGCTGGTTTCCTGCCGCCCACTTGTAGTCAGTTGGTGCACCAGGGTTCCTGGCCTTGTTGCAGAGCCCTAGCTGGGGGAGAGGGTAGGGTTTCAGCCCTCCCCGGCAGCTGGCCCAGCAGGGAGAGGGGCTGGTTGTATTTTAAGCTGCTGAGTGGTTCAGCAGGAACTCCATGGCCTTCTCTCCCCATGGACATTGTGATTCACATGGACTCGGAGCATGTACACAGCGCTCATGGGGCCCAGCAACTATTAATATATCTGCAGCTCAGAGCCCTGCCACCTAGCCCCTTCTGGCACTGTCCTCATGGGCTCATTCTCTCGTTTCTGGTCTGATACTGTCCTTGTGGGGTTCAGTCATCTGCTCCTCAGGCCACAGGGGAGGCTGAGTTCGCAGTGTAGCAGGTGATCTCTCCTGTGCTGTGTCCATGATGTAAGGTGTGGCACAGATGGGCAAGCAGGCCTGGGTGCCACTGGCTGCCCTAGCTAGGAGCCTTGCTCTGAATTCAGGCTTAGGCCTCTCTGTGTAGGGTCACCTCCCTGGGGCCTCTGGACCTAATCTCCTTTGAAGACTGTGGACCCCAGGGGTATAGGCAGGCCTGGGCTGTGTGTTAAAGGCTTTGGAGCAAGACTCATCATGGGTGAGCACGTTGATGTTGGCCGAATGTGGCAGACTGGTTTTGAACCAGGTGTAGGTGGAACTGTTGAAGAATGAGGAGGGGGTGGGGGCGTCGCTGACTCTTTCCTCTCCACACTTAGAAAAGGTGCTGTGCACCAGTAACTCTGGAATTTGTCACCTCCCTGGGAACACAGATGCACAGGGGAAATACTCCAGTGTCCCTTACAGCTTAGAAGTGGAAATGGATGATCTGTCTCTTGGATTCCCCAGATAGCTGGCATTTTCCCAGGCCCAGTAACCCGTCAGCCAGAGCTGGGCCCTGGGCCTGGGCTAGCCACCCCTGCCACTGGCTGTGTTTTTTTTTTTTTTCCTTCTCTGGGGGATCTTCTTGTCCCTGGCACTTTTGAGGCCCAGTGTCCACTCAACTGCCTCTATGAGGGTAGCCCCCAGGGGAGGACTGTGGTGTGGCTCCTTTGGGGGACTCAGCTAGGATGGTTTTATATTTAGCCGGGCCGGGCCCTGGTGCCACTCGGGTTACATCTGGCATTGAAGCTGGCTGGGCCTGGTCAGACACAGGCTCCCTTCCAGCACCGAGGCAGAATTTGATCATGCTGCCCAGCCCAGCTCAGAGCAGCTTTGTGAGGGGAGTTGGAGGTGGGGGCTGGCGGCTGGCAGTGGGCACCACAGCCTGGTAGGCAGAGCAGTAGGGCCGGCAGTGACATGGATATCAGTTTGAGCATGGTGACCAAGGAGGCCCACCAAGGCCTCGATGGTCTTCCCATGCCCATGCCCCACAAGGTAGCCAAGAAGCATAAAAAGGCGGTTCTCTTCTTTGAGGTGGAGATTCTGGATGCGAAGACAAGGGAGAAGCTGTGCTTTCTGGACAAGGTAGGACTGTGACCCTGGTGGTGAAGCTGTAGGGCTGTGCGGACGCTGGTGGCCCCCTTGTCCTTCAGAGGGCACACAAGGGGCATTGCCTTCATCTAGAGCAGCAGTTCTCAACTTGTGGTCTCGACCCCTTTGGGGCTGCGTATCAGCTGTTTACATTATGATTCTTAACAGTAGCAAATTACAGCTATGAAGTAGCAGTGAAAATTACAGCTATGAAGTAGCAGTGAAATAATTTTATGGTTGGAGGTCACCACAACATGAGGAACTGTATTAAAGGGTCACAGCATTAGGAAGGTTGAGAACCACTGAACAGAGTGAGTAACTGTGGCCCCTGCGTGGGGCTGGGATCTGGCTGTCTGGTAAGGGAAGGGATAAGGCAGCCTGGAAGGAGGTGGGAGACAGATATACCCCTGCTGAAGCCAGCTGGTGATCCTGACGGCTGTGCCTGGCACCCCTACCCCAGATCTGGGTCTGATACCCTGTTTTCTCCCAGGTGGAGCCTCAGGCCACCATTGCTGAAATCAAGACCCTCTTCACCAAGACCCGTGAGTCCAGGCCCCACTTCTACCCCACTCCTGTCACCCCTCTGAACGAGAGACCTGGGCTTCCTCAGGGACTTGTAGAGAGGGCCTGTCAGCACTCTGGAGCAGGGAGTGGGGCCCCTCTGACTGGGCAGGCTGCCCCCGTGTGGCCACCTGCAGGAATACTTTCGTTATTCAAAGGACAAAATCTGTAGCTGTTGGAGTGTGTCTTTGCACAGGGTGGGAGGAGCCAGGGGTCCCAGCGTTCTGGGACCCTTGAGGCAGGCTGAGTTAGGACGGGTAGGCTGAACCCAGCATACTGGGTGCTGCAACATCACCTTCTCCTAGCAGACCCGCAGTGGTACCCTGCCCGCCAGTCCCTCCGCCTGGACCCCAGTGAGTACAGCCTTTCCCTTGGGCCCTTGGGGTTAGAACTCAGGGCAGCACCTGAATACTGAATGATCTCTGTAGAGGGAAAGTCCCTGAAAGATGAAGATGTGTTGCAGAAGCTTCCTGTGGGCACCACAGCCACACTCTTCTTCCGGGACCTGGGGGCACAGATCAGCTGGGTGACGGTAAGCCCTGCCCCTGCCCTGGTCGCTGCCTCAGCCACGCTGGGCTACTCACCGTGTCTCTGGGTGCCCCCAGGTCTTCCTGACTGAGTATGCTGGGCCCCTTTTCATCTACTTGCTCTTCTACTTCCGGGTGCCCTTCATCTATGGCCACAAATACGACTTCACGTCCAGTCGGCACACAGTGGTGCAGTGAGTGGGGCCCGCGAGGGTGGGCGGGAGGGTGGAGGCCGGGCCGGCCCCTGCTGAATCCGCTACCCCACCAGCCTCGCCTGCCTCTGCCACTCATTCCACTACGTCAAGCGTCTGCTGGAAACGCTCTTCGTGCACCGCTTCTCCCACGGAACCATGCCCTTGCGAAACATCTTCAAAGTGAGCGTCCTTACCTTTTCTCTTTAATGCTCTGTCCGCCGGCAGCACCCGCCCTCCCTAGGCTAACCCATCTGCTCTCTTTCAGAACTGCACCTACTACTGGGGCTTTGCTGCATGGATGGCCTATTACATCAACCACCCTCTCTACACGCCCCCTAGTAAGTGGCCCAGACAGTGCCCTCACCCTGTGGTCCCATCACCCGCCTTCTCACGGGGCTCTTCTTGCCCTTTCTGCAGCCTACGGATCCCAGCAGGTTAAGTTGGCGCTGACCATCTTTGTGGTAAAGAGGCTGGGGTAGCCACCAAGTGTGGTGAGGTGAGGTGGCTGGGTGGGGTGAGGCTGGGCCTCTGGACTGATCTGCTCTCCTTGATAGATCTGCCAGCTTGGCAACTTCTCCATCCACATGGCTCTTCGGGACCTTCGGCCGGCTGGTGAGTGGCCGGCTGGGGCTGGGGCTGGGCAAGCTGGGTGAGGGATGGGACTTACTCTTGTTCTGCATGGCAGGGTCCAAAACCAGGAAGATCCCGTATCCCACCAAGAACCCCTTCACCTGGCTGTTTCTGTTGGTGTCCTGTCCCAACTACACTTACGAGGTGAGGCTGCCTCTTCCTCTCAGGTTTAGGTCCTGAGAGGGTCAGGGGTGGGGTGTGGGGGAGCAATAAAGCCTGAGTTTGGGGAGACTGCTGCCTTCCTTGCCCTGGGCACATGTGCTGCTGGGCTGCCCTGTGCCCTCACCCTGCTCTCGCTGCCCGCAGGTGGGGTCCTGGATTGGCTTTGCCATCATGACGCAGTGTGTTCCGGGTGAGTCCGCTGTTCCCGGGCAGTGCCCTTCCCTTCCGCCTGGGCTTCCCTGTTCTGATACCCTGTTCTGTCCACAGTGGCCCTCTTCTCCTTGGTGGGCTTCACCCAGATGACTATCTGGGCCAAGGGCAAGCATCGCAGCTACCTGAGGGAGTTCCGCGACTACCCACCCCTGCGCATGCCCATTATCCCTTTCCTGCTCTGAGCCGTTCCTCGTGGCTCAGCGAGGACTCTCCCCACTGCCCCACTATCCTGGGGGAGCACTCTCCAGCAGCAACAATAAACCTGCTCCCCCAGCCTGACGTGGACTTTGTGTTCTTGAGGGGTACAGGGGCCACACCGTTCCTTCCCACCCTTGAGGCAATGCAGACGAAGGTTGGGCAGTTGACCCAAAGCTTTTATTTCACTGATAGGTCCACGGGTGGGCGGGTGACCCCTAGAGGGCCACCTCAGGCTCCACCTCTCCTTCTCCCTGGCCCTGGGCCACCCGTTGTGCCTTCTCTTCCCTCCGTTTCTTCCTCTGGAGCAGTCGCCGCTCACGCTCAAACTCCTTCATTCGCTTCACGTAGCTGTGGGCAGAGCAGACAGAGGGTCTCAGTGCCACAGGCTCTGGCCCATCCCATTCCCAGCCACCGGGAAGCCCTTGCTAGGGTGGGGCCTCCCATGAAATTCTGGCATTGCCTCTGGTGGCCCCAGCCTCTTCCCCAGGTCCGTGTGTGGGTGCCTGTGGTGTGGGTAGGGGCAGGCTCACTCCAGGTGCTCGCAGTAGTCCCAGTCGTGCTGCTCATGCTTGCAAGCCAGGAAGTTGGGGAAGCTGTCTCGCTTGCACTTCATCAGCCGGATGAGGTAGTGGGCGCAGTAGTCACGCTGCTGCAGTGTCAGCTGGGCATCATTCATCTCCTGCTGCGTGGCCACCATCACTGTGGGCAGTGGCAAGGCTCAGCATCAGAGCCGGCCCCCAGCTCCACCACCCCCGGGATGCACAAGTGAACCCACATACCAGGGTGCCCTTCCCTGACTCAGCAGAGCCAACTCGCATTATGGATGGCCACGTCCTGACAGAAGGAAGGGTGACTGTTCCCTTTGGGCATGTAAACAGTACAGCGGGTTCTCACATCCCTTCCTCTAGCGAAGCTGTCTTCCAGAAAGTCAAGGTGAAGCTCAGTGCTCACCTTCCAGCCGCCTTCCCCACTGCAGAAATAGGCCAGGTGCAGCATGGATGCTGCGAGGCCATCAGCTAAGCCAGCAGCTGTGGTAACCAGAAGGGACTCGGGAATATATCTTTAGGTAGTGCCAGTGTAACCAGCATAGTGCCTATCTACACAGATAAGACAGGGTCATCACTGGCTCACAGGACTTCAGAACTGTCATTGTATGGGGTCTGATGTTGACATAAATGCTGCCATGTATGTGGTGCATGTTAAGCGCTCATGTGTGAGCTTTGGGTAGCTGATCTAGCTATGAGCTGGCATGTTCCAGCGTTGGATTAGGAACAGTTGTCACACCACAGCCTGAACCCACTGTGCCCCACAATTCCACACACTGTCAACCTGGCAGGACCTGATTTGCTGGGTCTTCAGGCCTACCTCCTCTCCACCCGTGCCTTGGTCCTAGCCCCTACTATTGCATCAAAACATATTCCCATGGAAGGCCTGCCACCTTCAGCTACTCAGGAGGCTGAAGAGGAGATCACTCGTTTATGACCTGCTTGGGCTACAGAGTGGGTTTACGGCCAATGTGGGCTACTTTGAAACACTATACAGAAGTTGGCAAGCTGACCAGAGAGATGGCTCAGTGAGTAACAGCATCACTGCTCTCGAAGAGAACTGGGGTCTTGTTCCCCAAACTCACAGCCCCTGCATTTAATTTCAGCTCTAGGGGATCTAATGCCTTCTCTGGCCTTGTCTGGCGCCTGAACTCTTACAGCCAAATCTCTAAACTGAAGTCAGTGGGGAGTGCTTGCCTGACGTGTGAGGCGTGGGAAGCCCTTCCCAGTGCACAAACACTCCTAGTTACCCCAGCCTTCCTCTCGGCTGCTGTCTCCACGCTGCTTCCCGATACCACATCCTCTTTCTCACACAGGCTCAGGTCCTTGTGCCCTTTTTGAGCTGCTGGCCTGGCGCCCAGATGTGACTCAGGGTTACCTGTCACCAGGGTAGGCTTTCCCCACTTGGTTGCACTCTGCCTGTATCTCCTCCCGCTTCAAACCCAAATAGTAGCCACCTCTACAACCATCCCTGGGTCCAACCCACACCTCTGACTGCTAGCCTAGTTGGCTGGTGAAGCCAGCTTGGTCCCCGTGTCAACACCTCTGCACTCCAGGCCAGGGGCTCACTTTGCAGGCAGGCAGGCTCATGTTGGAGCCACTCAACCTGGAGCTCAGGTTAGCAACCCAAGCTTCTCTCATCTCCAGTTCATAATAGGCTTCAGCACACTGCTGCCTGTCAAGTAAAGGGATACCGCAGGGAGCCAGGCAGGTGGATGGTATCCGTCTTCAGAGGGAGACAAAATAGGCAAAATGCACTCCTTGCCTGGCAGCCTTATTGACTGGGGAGAGACCAAACACCTGGCGTAGGCAGCGCTGGAAGGGGGCCACGAGAAGGCGAGGGGCGAGCCAGGCAGGCGCCTATGGCACAAGCACTCCAGGCGTAACAGGCCAAAGCCAAGGCCACGGAACGGGGCTCCTCACCTGGACTTCGGCTACAGCACAGGAAGGCGGAACTGTCCTGTATAGTGGTGGGAAAGTGAGGACTGAAGGCTGAAGGGGAAGGCAGAGCTCAGACTGCAGAGGACTAGACAGCCATTAAAGGCGGAGTGGTGCATACCAGTAATCTCAGCACCCAGGAGGCCGAGGTAAGAGGATTTTAAATTTGAGGCTAGCCTGGGCTACACAGCAAGATCTGGTCTCTAAAGCAAACAAAATCCAGGCTGGGCCTCTTGACTTTCCCCTGTGATTCAGCACTCATGAGGCTGCGTGGGGGGATCTGGAGTTTGAGGCCAGCTATAGAATGAAACCCTGTCTTAAAAAAATTAAAGTGGCAGCAGAGCATGGTGGTGACTCCAGAGGGTGGTAGTGGTTCCGGAAGAGAGAAGGTGGAGAGAGATCTGAGGAAGACACTCTTCTGGCCAACACACGTGTGTGCATAGGCTCACATATACCACAACTAATGTAGCACTGACACAAACAGCAGAAAAGCAAAACAACCACGAAAGCCAGCAATGTCATTCCTAAGTTGATGGTTCAGGCTTCCCTGGAAGATAAACTTGGCAGTACTGCTGCATACAAGGCAGTTGCATGCTGTCTCAGGATAGGACGGACAGACAGACGGGCCTTGGCGTCAAGGCTTCCAACAGGAGCTGAGGAAGAATGAGTAACAGTCCAGGGAGATGGGGGTGACCAAGGTTCAACTGAGGAATGATGATGGAACTTAGATTCGGCTGCGGAGCTTTGAGAGATGCCCTTCAGTGAGGCAGGAAGCTGGAGAAGGCAGGGCCAGAATGAGATTTTACACTTGTTCTTGAGACAGGGCTGCTATGGTCGACCAGCCGCCGTGTCTGGGTTTGGGAGGGTTCAAAGCCACTGGCAGGTAGTCTAACGGCATGCCGACAGGAGACTAATGGCAGATTGCTGAGTGGACAGTGGATGGAGGACATAAGGGGTTAACCGGAAATGGGGGCCTGCCAGGCCATGGGCAGGTCATTTGGAGTAACAGGTGACTGGGAGCTTGAGGATGCATGGGAGTCGGGAGGGGAAGCGTTGCTGCTTTCCCACAGGAACATGCCTAAGACACAGGACGAGGCGATAGAGAGCTACAGGAGTAATCTGAAGGCTAGCATCACTGAGCACACTGGGCCTGTGAGCTCCGGGCTCCAGAGGCCAAAGGGAAAGGACCCAGTTAGACCAGTCTGACTCCACAACAAGAAGGGGTCCAATGAGGAAGCAACCTGGATACTGGGGCCACACGGCTGGCTGCATTTTACCAGGGTTTTGGTTCAGCCAAGCCAGAGCGGGAGTGCCGGTTATTTTCACAGCTGACTCTGGGCAAAGCAGGGTGGATAACTGAGCTGCAGGCCCAGTTAGGACTCCCCAGAGCAGGCCACCTCCCAACATACCCAGACGCATGTCTCTGGACTCTGTCCCTTGGAGGACTCCATCCTTGTCTACAACTCATCAGCCACTAAACCTGTGCGTGGTAGGCCAGAAGACAGAGTCAGATGTCGTTTCCAATTATTCATCCACAGCATTTTATGATACAAGTTCTCGCAGAACGTAGAGCTCAATCACTGGCTAGACTGACTGGCCAGCGAGGTCCCTGGATCCAGCTCTGTCTTCTCTGCACTGGGAGCACAGGCACAGACCCTCCAGCCTTTCACGTATCTGAGTTTTTCTCTTACACAAAACCTGCTTTTTCTTCTTCTTTTCTTTCCAAGTCAGAGTTTCTCTGTGTAGCCCTGGCTATCCTAGAACTCACTCTGTAGACCAGGCTGGCCTTGAACTCACAGAGATCTGCCTGCCTCTGTCTCCTGAGTGCCGGAATTAAAGGCATATACCACCACCACTGGAAGTCAACAACAGCTTCAGGAAGCCCTGAAGCCGAGCAAATTCACTAGGCTATTCCTTCCCCAGGCTAGGCTGTAAACACTGCCCAGAGACCAGCTCAGCTCAACCAAGCTCCCCAGGGGAAGCAGATTACAAGGGCTGTCTGTCACTCATGCTGGGCTGACCGTCATTTCTGCTCCTGTAACTGCAGTAGAGCTCACTGGCTCACCAAGTTGGACTTCAGTGCTATTCTTACCTTCTTCTGCCAATGGTTCCCTACCTGGGGTAAGAAGTCTGTTCATGTTTCCACAGGGGACTGTGGCAAGCACTTTACCGACTGAGCCATTTCCCAGCCTACACCACAAAGCAAATTTGTGTATTTCCTCTGCTTCCAAAGTGAGGGCTCCATCCGTCCCCGGCCTCTTTTATCTTTTAGCCTTTGCTTCCACTGCCTGTCACGAAGCCTGCTTCTCAGATCTGCATGCCCACTGGGCTCCCTAGAGACAGTGCCAGTGTTTCTCTGATACCCCGGGGCATCCCAAGTGCCCAAACGGGGCTTTGTCCAGAGCCGTCGCTCTTACAGTAAGCCGTGATTTTCCCACGCAGGAAGAACGAGAACCCTGGGTTCCATGCCCAGCACCGCCACACCAGGCAGGACAGATGCACCGCACGATCGCCCCACCCCGACCTCGTCTACTTGTACCTAGCTAACTAGGAGTGGGGGACGCCTGTGCGGAGATGCGAAGAACACGTCCCCGGGCTCCGCGCTGTGCCCAGGACCAAGGGCACCGGCGCAGCCTCGCTTTCCCGCTCTCGGCTGTCTTCTCCCAGCCCGCAGCTCCAGCCAAGCCTTCCCTGTCTCCTCGTTCAAGGAGGTCAGGCGCCCTCCCGACCCGACCCGGTGCACACAGGCTGCACCGAGTTCCGCGGGGTCCGCGGTCGCGCCTGCGCTCTGAGCTCACCGCGCTCCTTGCGCTCCGGGAAGCCGTAGTCCGGCGGGAAGCTGGGCATGTGCAGGGGGTCAGGCTCCACCGAGGCGTCCCCCACATAGCGCCGGGCCAGGTGCGCCCCCATAGCTGCTCTGCCTCACTCGCCTTTGGCAGCCGGGGTCACCTCACTCCCACCTGGAAGCACAGCTCCTTTCAGGGCCACAACTTCCGGGTCATCTAGCCCGCGGTGGGGATCATGGAGAAGAGCCGGGGAAGCTGTCCTGGCCTGTTGGCTCCCCCTACCGGTCTGGAGGAGACGGCGCAGGTGCGGCGGACGCCAGTTGGCTGTCCAGGGAGCTCCAGGGGTGGGTGACCTGTTTATGCTCTCTCTGCTCGGTGCTAGAATTACAGATGTGTGCCACCAAGCCAGCAGTTTACATAGATATTGTGGACACTCTGGTCCACATGCTTGCATGACAGTCATTTTATAGACGGAAGACGGAACCATTTTCCAACCTCATTCTGTTTAAGTTTAAGATTGTGTGTGTGTGTGTGTGTGTGTGTGTGTGTGTGTGTGTGTTGTGATAGACCCCAGAGCCCAGTTCATGGTAGACAAGTGCTTTACCATTGAAGCACACCACCACTTCCAACCTCCCAACCTCCAAACACTTTTTATGTGGGTGTTGGTGTGTACACAGCTCTGTAAATGGGCATATGAGTGGATTTGATGATCGCAGGTCAGCTTTGGCTGTCATTACTCTGGCATTGTCCATCCTGCTTGAGACAGTGACCCCTACTGGCTTTGAACTCTCCAAGTAGTGTCCCCTACTGGCTGGCCTGGAGGTCGGAAAGGTTTAACCGTCTGTGGTTCTGGAATCGCCAGCACGTGCCAGCACACCCAAACTTTTCTTACGTGGTGTTTGGGTTCTGAATTTAGATCTTTGTGCTTGTAAAGCTATTACAGCAATGGCTGAGCCCTCCTCTAAGTTGTTGTTCTAAAAACAATACCGTTGTGACCATGCTCTACCACTGGGACCCACACTAAGAGCCAAATCCCGAGGAAGGGCCAAGCAGACTTGCTGGCCCGGGAAGCCCCGAAGGAACCACGCCCTTCCTTGATCCGAGTATGGATAGAGCCGGTCTACCGCACCTCCTGTCAGTGTGAGTTCTCCCCGTCCTTGTTTGGCTCTCTCCACTCATCAGGGACGGGACGCCGACTAAAGCGAGGTCCTGAGCAGGAAGCTTCGCCTTTCAGAGTTTCTCCTTCCTCAGTCCAGACTAAGTCCCCAGGCTGGCCGGGCCGCAACCCTCAGGGGCTTCCTGGTTTTGCCTCCTCCATGCTGAGGTTTCGAGCATGAACCGCCTTGCCAGGTGTCCTTTTTCTTTTCCTTCGAGACTATTCTCTATGTAACAGTCCTGGCTGTCCTGGAACTCGCTCTGCAGACCACCAGGCTGTCTTGGAGCTCACCGAGATCCGCCTGCCTTAGTCTCCTGAGTGCTGGGATTAAAGTGCTCCACCCCAATCCCCGCGCCCTGTGTCTTTTTTTTTTAACATGATATTTTAGGTACGGTTTCCATTGCTGTGATGAAACATCACAACCAAAGGCAGGTTGGGGGGAAAGAGTTTCATTTTACAGCTTGACGTGCATCACCCAGGGAGTCGAGACAGGAAGACAGACTGGCCAGGAACCTGAAGGCAGGGACTGAAGAGAGGCCATGGAGGACGCTGCTTACTGGCTTTCTCAGCCTGCTGGCACACAGTGCCCAGGGCCACCACCCCAGGGAGACCTGGGACCTCCCGCATCAATCAGTGCGCAGTTGCCCACAGGCCAGTCTGGTGGGGGCGTTTCCTCAACTGAGGTTCCCCATCCCGAATGACTCTAACCTGTGTCAGGGTGACACAAAAACCAGCCAGCACGCCCTGGCGTCTGGAGGTCAAACATAGGTCCTTGTGGTTACAAGACAGCACTTGCAAACTGACGGAGCCGTTTCTCTCTCCATGTCGCTTTGTCTGTCTCTACGAGTGTTACACACGTGCACAACCGCACTGTTTCTCTCTCTCTGTTCTCTCTCTCAATGTTACACACGTGCACAACTGCACTGATTTTCTCTCTCTGTGTTCTCTCTCTGAATGTTACACACAAGCACAACCGCACTCTCTCTCTCAATGTTACACACGTACACAACTGCACTGTTTTCTCTCCATGTGTCTTCTCTCTGTCTCTCTCTCTCACACACACACTCACACATACACACACATACACACACAGTCTTCCTGTCTCACAGGAGATACACCATCTCTCTCTCCGTACTTCTGCCTCTGTGTCACACTCACTCTGTGTCACACTCACTCTGTGTCACACTCACTGTGTCACACTCACTCTGTGTAACTCTGTGTCACACTCACTCTGTATCACACTCACTCTGTGTAACTCTCTGTGTCACACTCACTCTGTGTCACACTCTGTGTAACTCTGTGTCACACTCACTCTGTGTAACTCTCTGTGTCACACTCCCTCTGTGTCACACTCACTCTGTGTAACTCTGTGTAACTCACTGTGCCACACTCACTCTGTGCCACACTTACTCTGTGTTACACTCACTCTGTGTCACACTCACTCTGTGCCACACTTACTCTGTGTCACACTCACTGTGTCACACTCACTGTGTAACTCTCTGTGTCACACTCACTCTGTGTAACTCTCTGTGTCACACTCACTCTGTGCCACACTTACTCTGTGTCACACTCACTCTGTGTCACACTCACTGTGTCACATTCACTCCGTCACACTCACTCTGTGTCACACTCACTGTGCCACACTCACTCTGTGTCACACTCACTGTGTCACACTCATTCTGTGTAACTCTCTGTGTCACACTCACTTATCACACTCACTCTGTGTCACACTCACTCTGTGTCACACTCTGTGTAATTCTCTGTGTTACACTCACTCTGTGTCACACTCACTGTGTCACACTCATTCTGTGTAACTCTGTGTCACACTCACTCTTTGTCACACTCACTCTGTGTTACACTCACTCTGTGTCACACTCTGTGTAATTCTCTGTGTCACACTCACTGTGTCACACTCACTGTGTCACACTCACTGTGTCACACTCACTCTGTGTTACACTCACTCTGTGTCACACTCTGTGTAATTCTGTGTCACACTCACTCTGTGTCACACTCACTCTGTGTCACACTCACTCTGTGTCACACTCATTCTGTGTAACTCTCTGTGTCACACTCACTCTTTGTCACACTCACTCTGTGTTACACTCACTCTGTGTCACACTCTGTGTAATTCTCTGTGTCACACTCACTCTGTGTCACACTCACTCTGTGTAACTCTCTGTGTAACTCACTGTGCCACACTCACTGTGTCACACTCACTCTGTGTCACACTCACTCTGTGTCACACTCACTCTGTGTAACTCTCTGTGTCACACTCACTCTGTGTCACACTCACTCTGTGTCACACTTACTCTGTCACACTCACTCCGTGTAACTCTCTGTGTCACACTCACTCTGTGTAACTCTCTGTGTCACACTCACTCTGTATCACACTCACTCTGTGCAACTCTGTGTCACACTCACTCTGTGTATCTCTCTGTGTCACACTCACTCTGTGTCACACTCATTCTGTGTATCTCTCTGTGTCATATGTTCCATCCCTGTGTCACTCATACACTTTATTTCTCCATGTCTCTCTTTATCTGCCTCTCTGTCCCTGTCTCTGTGTCACACATGCAGTCTGTCTCTGTGTCACAAATGATGATGTCCTCTGCCATACAAAGGACTTTCAGTTTCATAAGGCCCACTTTTTAAATGTTGGTCTTAGCATCTGTGCTGCTGGGTTTCAGAAAGTCCTTCCTGTGCCAATGAGTTCAAGAATATTCTCTACTTTCCCTTCTATCAGATTCAGGGTATGTGGTTTTACATTGAGGTCCTTGATCCACTTGGAGTTGAATATTGAAATAAGTATGAATTATTTGCATTTTATGAAGTCACACAGTTTGAAGATACTTTTCCCCTCCCACTGTGTGTATTTCTGACTTCTTTGTCAAAAACCATTTCCATGAGTGTGTGGTCTTCAATTTGATCCCATTGATCAACATGTCTGTTTTTATGTTGGTACCATGCTGTTTATATTACTATTGCTCTTCAGCACTATGAGATTGGGGAAGATTAATTCTTTTATTAATCAAGGTTGTTTTAGCTATCCTGAGGGGTTTTTTTTGTTGTTGTTGTTTTTATATGAAATTGAAAATTGCCCTTTCAATTTCTGTGAAGAATTATGTTGAGATTTTGAAGGGAATTGTGTTGACTCTGTAGATTGCTTTTGGTATAGTAGCCATTTTCACAAATTAATCCTACTGATCCATGAGCATGGCAGATACTTCCAACTTCTGGTGTCTTCTTTAATGTCTTAAAATTTTCATTATATGAGTCTTTCATTTGCTTGATTAGAGTTATTCCTTTTGGTGGCTAATATGAAAGGTACCATTTCCCTGATTTATTTTCCAGTCTGCTGTTTTCATATAGGAAGCTACTAATTTTCATGTGTTAATTTTGTATCATGCTACTATGCTGAAAGTATTTATCAGCTGTAGGAGTTTCTTGGTGTGGTTTTTAGTGTCTTTTATGTATACAATCATATCATCTGCAAATAAAGATACTTTGATTTCTTTCTTTCCTGCTTGTATCCCCTTGATCTCTCAATTGTCTTATTGCTCTAAGACGTCAAATAATATGTTGAATGAGTATATAGAGAGTAGACAGCCTTATCTTGTTTTAATGGAAATGCTTTGGATTTCTCTCTGTTTAGTTTGATGTTGTCTGTGGGCTTGCTGTAAATTGCTTTTATTTTGCTAAGGTATGTCCCTTGTACTGCTAGTCTTCTGAGACTTTTATAATAGGGATGTTGGCCTTTTATGCATCTAACTAGATGATTATGTGGTGTTTGTCTTTCAGTTTACATGTACGGTGGATTATATTTGTTGATTCTCATTTATTGAATCATCACTGGATGTCTGGGATCTAGCCAACTTGATCATGGTGGATGTTTTTTATATGTACTTACATTTGGTTTGTAAATATTTTATTGAGAAGTTTTATACCTATCTTCTTAAGGGTTATTCCTTCTTCTAATTTCTTCTTCTTCTCCCTTCTCCTCCTCATCCTCCTCTTCCTCTTCCTCCTCTTCCTCCTCCTTCTCCCCCTT